TATATATATATATATATATAGCCAACGCCATAGCGTGCTGGTCACACCGGTTCCCGTACGATCACTGAAGTTAAGCAGCATCGGGCGTGGTGCAAACTTGGATGGGTGACCGTTTGAGAACGCCACGTGCTGTTGGCTTAAAAAGAGCAAAAAAATGAGAACAAGACAAAGTAAGAACCAAAAACAAAATCTTGTTCTACTGTCGACCTGAGGCAGCTCGACGAGAACGTGAATTTCACTGCTTCTGACCCTGGCCACTCCAAAGATGTTAGTCACCGGAGCCCAGTTCAGGAGACAAATCGTTCCCATCGAAAAAGACGGACTCAGGAAGACCTTCAAGAATTGATGTGGTGCTATCTTATAATAAGTGGCACCACCGAAATTCGAGTATTTGTCCCTAAGGAATCGGGTAGAAACCTCGGATAAATACTTAAAAACTCCGACAAGTAGCCTTGTCGTGTTTAATGGTGGATAATAATAATAATAGTAAAAAAAAAGAAAAAATCAAAGGAATATCGATTCGAAAGAGTAATAAAACAAGAAAAAAAATTTTTTTTAAACAAATACAATCGAAATAAATAAATAAATTTTTTTGTTGTTGTTTAAACAATTTCAAATTAATATTATAATTATTATTTATTAATTAATTTACGTTATTATCGATAAAAATTTAATCAATTACGGCTTTGATATTTTTATTGGTTTTTTTATTTTATTTTTTTTAATAAAAATAATTTTTCGGGTTTTCATTATTAATTTTTTTTTTTTCGTAATAATTATTTATTTATTTAATTCTCGATTTGTGAAAATTCAATTTAAAAAAAAAGTTTGCCATTTTTTCTCGTTTTGCCCCCACTCTCCCCCCTACCTCTCTCTCTCTCTCTCTCCCTTCCTCCTTTCATTCGTTCGTTGATTTTAATTTTATTAATATTTATTAACTACCTTTGATCATGAAAACGAAGGGGGGAAAAAAATAAAATAACAATAATAAATTACGTAATAATTTTAATGAGTTTAATAAATAAATAAATAAATATTAATAATAATAATAAAATAATTTATAAATATTAATAACCGATTATATTCGTTAATAATAATTTATTATTAATTTTCCTGTTTTTTTTTTTTTTTTAATATTAAATTTGAAAAAATTAATTACTTAAAAAATATTATTATTATTATTAATATTAATAATGATGATGATAATAATAATAATAATAATTTTTTTTTTTACGTGACTAAAAGAGAAAAAATTTAAATAATGACATTCATTTTATAATTTATTACGTAAAGTTTTTTTTTTCTTTCTTTCTTTCTTTTTTTCTTTCTTTTCGAATTTATTCAGGTATGACGCTATAATTTTTATTATTTTAAATTTATTATTATTATTATTATTATTATTATTATTATTATTTCAAACGGTTAAAAATCGCGTGACAAAAGTTTAAAAAAAAAAAAAAAATGGGTTTAAATAAAACGTAAGAGTCCTAAAGGTTAAAACTATTCTTTTTTCAGTTAAAATCAAAAAAAAAATTACGATTGGATTTATAGGGGGTAGCAAAAAAAGGGGAGAGGGAGGAAAACGGGGGGGGATCAACTCAAATTCAAACGACAAAAAAAAATTCGAATTTCGAATCGAAATTTATAAAAAAAAAAAAAACTTTCCTTTTATATATTTATATAAAAAAAATTCAACTTCAAGGTTTATCGCGCCAAATAATTATTTATATGGTTTAAACCTGGCACGAAAATTTTATTTCAACAGTGTCCGATATAAAATGTTTTGTTATTGGCCTATTTACTGCCATTTTAATTATTTACGTCTCCAGAGTTGTTATCATTATCATTATTATTATTATTATAAATAATAATAAAAAAAATGAACGCGACGGTGAGTAAAATATTATTATTACTGTTTTTATTTTTATTTTTTTTTCATATTAAATTTTAATTTTTATATTTAAAACTTTCCGAGTCAGATAAAAACAAAATGGCCGAAAAAAACGATTTAAATTAATAATAATAAAAAAAAAAATTAGTGATGATAATAATAACAATAATATTTTTTTACATAAAAAAATCTTCGTATGAATCTGTTGGATAATGATAAAGAAAGAAAAAAATTTTTTTTTAATTTTTTTGCAAACTTTTTATTTGTTTTTAAAACAAACTCAACCATTTTTAAACATTAAATTAAAGGGAGACAAACAAACAAACAAACAAACAAAAAACTCATAAAAAATTCGTACTTGCAATTACATTTAATGTTATTTTAAAAAAATAATAATAAATTTTTCAACTTATTGTTATTCATTAAGCTTTATTATTATTATTATTTTATGAATATTTAAGTTAAACAAGGGAGAAAAAAAATTTTTTTATTTTTTTTTATTATAAATAGGCGAATATTAAAAATAATTTTAATTTTATGTAAATCAAAATCGCGTATCATTTAGTTTTTAGTAGAAGATTTTCCTTTTTTTTCGGGGGGGGGGGGAGGGGACCTCGAAAGAAGAGGAAGAAAAAAAAAAAACAATTTTTCTTACTAGTAAACATTAATGATCATGAAAGTAGTAAAGCTTGTAGCACTTAAAAGCTATTTCGCTTGAGGGCAAAAAATTAATGGCGTGAAATCATTCTGAATATCGTATTAGTTTTTTTTTTTTTTTAAATTGCTTTATGCTATGTTTAAATGTGTTTCGAAAATGAAAATAATAATAATAATAATAATATTATTATTATATTCCGTTGTTAAACTCATATATATGCATAAAATAAGAATTTATTACCGTATAAAATTTATAACTTTATATAAATAAATAAATAATTTTTTATTTTTCACCTTAGAATATTTTGATTGTTAAGAAAATTTTATTTTATTTCAGTTGGTAGTACTGATCGTTCTCTGCGTCTTCGCAACAACAATTATGTCAGCTCCAACGGATGACGAAATAGATTTCAATGGTCATATAAGAAGGGATAAAAGAACATTGAAACAACTTCCAGCTGGTTTGTTAGAACCCATACTACCCTTAGTTAAAGCAATAGTGCCAGAACCTCTTTTAGGAAAGATAACAATGTTACTTCCGCTTCCGGCTCCTTCTGATGCAAAATCCGAATGAATTTTTTAAAAAAATATATATATTTTTTTTTTAATGTAAATTATGTTTTTTTTTTTTTTTAAATAAATTTTTTTATTTTAAATTTAATTTTTATTTATTGATTTGTTGTGGTTGTTCGAACAAAACAAACAAACCCAACAAAACATAAAACAAACAAACAAACCCTTGAATAGTAAAAATTAAAAAAAAAAAATTTTCCTCCGACACTTTTCCTTTTTTTTTTTTTTTTTCTTTAAGAAAACTGAAAAAAATTTTTTTCTTTTTTTTTTTTTTCAATTTAATTTGCAATCCAAAAGGGAAAGAATAAAAAAAAAAAAAATTGGGGAGACGGGAGGTTAAATTTTTTTTTTTTTTTTTTTTACGGGGGGATTTTAACCATGTGGCTAAATTCCCAGAAAAATTTTCTCCGCTAATGGACGAACCGTGTTTTATTGTTCTCCTTCCTGGTCGCCCTTTTTACTTGTTTCCTTACTTTTAGTGGTTGACAGTTCAAACGAGCGGAATTTAAAAAGTCTCTAAACAAATAGCAACGGTTGGCAACAAACACACACAGACACAAACAC